TTAGGGCAACACAGGCTGACTAAGTCTGCTCACCTAAGAGTGCCAAGAGTCTAAGCAGGCAACAAGGAAGTGGAGTAGACCTGATGACTAAGACCTATCTACAGTATAGGTACCTGTGGATGATCCTAAGAGACCAAGTCTGAAGAGACAGTCCCCAGGCAGAGTAGGCCTTATATTTATACCTCTGTGGTGGAACCTGCTAGAACATCTTGCTTACTCAGCCTAGTCAGGTGATCAGGTCATATGACCAAGGATGAGGTCATATGAGATCATGCACAGCCATGCACAGCAGGTCACCTGACCATCCAATCCTTCCAGCAGGTTCCAGCACATGCCAAGGTATACCAGCTACTTCCATGTCATAAAGGCTTAGTCATGTCTCTTGACCAAGCAATGAGCTGGTGCCCTGACAACTCCCTTCAACCAGCAAGTAATGCTATGTATGTACCAGGAGACAATTGACCTATGCACATAGACAAAAGAATTTACATTGGTATATGATGCTACATTTGGCATGAAACAGACAAAGGACATGAAATGGTATGCAGCATCCTCACTGCAAAAAGGTGATTTGGTTCTGTGTGAAATGCAAGTCCGCAAGAGGTATGATAATAAAGATGATAACTTACCAAATGAAAAGCAATCATTTGGTATTGCCTTTCAATTTGATGCCATATATTTTCTAGATCACGCATCTGATGCACCTTCTGTAGAGGAGACCATGTCATACAATTTTTAGTCATAATGATTCATGCACATGACACTAGCCACGTGGATCTGCACCCTTGTTTTATACTGAATCACTCTGTGGTGGGTCATACACTGGCACAGGTGTATAAGGGCAAGACAGATTCACTCCATGCACAAGCCTCTTTCATCCTATCCACCACCTCATCATGGTTGCTCCAATGGATGAGCCCACTTCTGTGCATGCACCCATACTGTATTTATACACTGTCATACCATGCGCATTGTCGAGCTGACTCATCAACAGTGCTCACAATCACTCTCCTGCAACCAACATTGAAGATGACTCCACCGCTGACTTTGCACATTGTGTCGTGTCACTCCCAGACACTGAGCCAATTGACCTGCTCTGGTACAGCCCAGCCAGTATCACCATCTTTGGTCAGCTGGCCAAACTGGATAGCTTGGCTCTCGAGGTTGTGGAACTCTGTGTCAAGCTCCACACAGCACACAATACAATCTTCCGCCAGCAATCTGCCATAGTTTCACTCCCCAAGTTATTGGATGAGAGAGAGTCCTGTTAGGGCTATGCACAACATCTTTTTGCATTCATGTGGGGGGGTTGTTTTTGCGTCAAGGAGTCATGTGAGGTGGTGGTGTGGTTAGAAGTCACCTGAATGTCTTTGCATTTGATTCCATTCTGTCAGCCACTGTGCACATTGTCTCAGACTCTTGTTCCCATGTTCTCCATTGATCATGTCCCAGCCCACTGGCAATCAGCCCCCTTCCCATGGCTCAGGCTGTTCTGGGGCTATCCGCCTGCACTCTGCCAGCCTTAATGTGGGTTCTCCAGTATGTACTATTGTTGTACATACTCTGCGCATGGTACTGACTCTATTTGCAGGGTTCCCTAAATTCCGATTCTATGAATCTCATGGTGAGGGCATCATGGGCAATATCTCCTGTATGCTTACGTAGGGCAGGCTCCTCATGGTACACAGTGACCATTGTCAGTGTCTCCTGGTCATGCTGTTACCCAAGGTAGTGGGAAGCAAGCAAGAACTGCCCATCCCATGTGCATGATCAATCCTCCCTCTACAGGATCAACCTCCATTCCTACACAAGTCACTCTTCAACCCATGTATGCTGTCCCGGACCTGGCTTCCCTTTCCTGTGTTGACATGCACACAGATGGTCCACTAATGTACACGACAGTATCTCTGAAGACTGCAGTGATGACAACAGCAAAGATAACAATGCTCATTGTCCAGGTCACTGGGGACCCAGCCCAGACATCTTTGCCACCCAAACAACTTTCCTTCACATGTTTGAGCACCAAAACACTGTACATGTCAATGAACTTGCTGAAACTCATCACTGAGTAGTGTTTCTCCAAGATCAACTCATGCATGCAAATGGTGTCATATCTGAGCTGCACCGCAAGCCTGGGATGGGCAAATTGAGAACACTGCACAAAGCTTATGCCGGCCTCAAATGGCATGCAGATGGCAGTGACTTGGCCATACAGAACTTTCACGTGGGGCCTGATCTCTCACACATCCCAGACCAACTTTCCCACATTCATCAGCTTCAACTTGAACTCGACTTGATCATTGCAAACAACACAGAACTTCTGTGCATAATCAGCGACAACAACCATGAAATTTGTCAGCTACATGCATTGTTAGATGATGAGAGAGAACTTGATAGGTGGATTCACGAGCTGACAGATAGGGTTGAGGAGCTGGACAATGAGACTCTGGCCATTGACAATTGACTGCTGAAGCAGAGGATGATATGGTTTGGAGTCGAGATACAGGAGGCAGCAGAGGAAGAGTGAACTTGCTTGTCATTTGTTTCACCAATTCTCCTTCATCATTACAAGACCTTAGATAATGCACATAATGCATCTGTATCCTTCTTATTAAGCACTATGTGCCATAGTCTAATGAGACACCATGATGATTCATACACAATGGTTTGGATTGCTTTGTGTGCCTGTGGGTACAGATTGTCTCCTAATATGATAATTCATGCCGTCTCCATCTTCTTGAAATCGACAACAACCCAGTTAATCTTGTCACCAAACTGTAGAGTCATCAGCAACAGCAACAATTGCCTGAATGCTCTTACACCTTCTGCTTTGGCATGCTCAGCTACCACAGTCATCCTCCACTTGTGCATGTTGGGCTTGCTGATCTTCCTCTCATATGTCTGTTACAATGCCCTCTGTCCATGTTGAGACAGTGCACATAGTCAGAAACACAACATACCTGATCAGACTCCCTCCACACCAGCATTGTTCCCGCATCCACACCAATAAGACATGCACTAGCAGAGTTGAACACATGACACCAACATTCTTTTGTCCCGTCCATGGCTTTAAAGTTGAGGTGATACCTAACAATAGTGAGTTAACCTATGCACATAGTCTCCACAACTCACTTAGGGCCTAACATCAGGACGTTTGCACCACACTGCTGGCAGCTGTAGCTACCATCCACATTCCTCCAGTCCGGCTTTGGAATCTTGTTGCAGCTCTTGAAAGGACAGCCCATGTGAATGTAATCTTTGTGCATGGTTCCCAGGAGGATGTTTGCCTCCACTAGGAATGTTGTGCAAGACAATTTGCCCAGATTCTTCTCCATCGCCCACTTGATCATGTGGGTTTCCATCACCTTGATATACCAATGGTCAGCATGACCATCAGAGCTGTACGTTCCCATTATCATCCACCACTTCTCCTTCTCCTTACCGTTCTGGTGATGATACCTGCAAGAATTAGTCACAATTACCATGTGCAATGTTGTACATACCAAAACAAGAGCACCTGTGTAGCAACATTGTTATACTTTGTTAGCACCTTAGTGTGCACAACATCAGTCTTTAGGCAAGGGCTGTTCAGATAACCAACGGCAGCAGACTTCAACACCAGCATGCAGCCTGGAGCAGCATTGAAGATGTGTGCAGCATGATCCCAAAGGACAATGTGCATGCAGGTGAGGGAATCGTCCATGACCCACAGCTTGCAACAAGTGGAAGACGGAATGGACTGATGACCCTGTGCACAGATCAAAATTTACTCAGAGAGTGTATACAAACATACCTTTGTTGCCTTTGCCCCTGCCAGTACCCTGCTCTTGATGAGCCTGCCCATCCTGTTGATGATGACCATGATATCTGGCCATGTCAGCATAACAGGTATTTATGCGCATGGTTCAGCTTACCCACAAGCTCACCAACATCAAGATGTTCCACCATGTTAAGACAAGAAAATGAAAAAAAAAAGATATTCAGGAGCTCTGCAATGTTATTGACCTATCAAGGGTCAGCATAATGCATAGACTTTGTGCATAACTTACCAGCTCCATGTGGGTGTGCTTCTGCCATATGAGCTGGTATTGGTGTGCACACCATTTAAATGCTAACACGTTCTCATCAATCACTGGGTATGATATACAATAGACCTATGCACATCATTTAGTATGCATAATTGTATTTGATATCTCTTACCTTTCCCTCTTCGGCACCTGCAAAGTACACCACATTGACACCCCAAGCCATGAACTCAATTTCCCCAGTCTGGTTGATAAAAACATAAGAGTGATGCTGGCTCTCTTTGCCGCCGGGGAGAGTGTGGGGCTTCGGGGGGTTCTTCTCATACAGGTGAGCATACAACACCACACTGCACAGAGTGAACAGTATATATGCGAAAAAAAAACTTACATGTTACTGTGCACACTGATCTGCACAATCTGGTGGTGTGTCTTGTTTTGCACGGTATGCATACACATACTAGGAGCAACAGATGTTCCAAGGGCAGGTTCTCAAGGTGCTTCTGACTGTCCTTTGTGTCCAACAACCCACCATTCAAACCTCTGCACATAGTTGACCGGTCCAGGGGGAAGCACAGAGTATTGTGCAGGATATGACACCACAAGGTGGCCATGCCAGACAGCCTTGTCCTGTCCAAGATCAGGAAGGTCAAGTATGAAGTGCAGACACATACTCTTTGCCTCAACCTTGGAGGACTCTCTTAGCTTTGCATAATCAATTATTTGAATAGCTCTGCACCAGTGAGACCAAACCCTGTGCACAGTTAATCTACGTACCCTTTTGTCAAGCCTGGAAGAAAGCCTTGTTTAAAAAGAAACATGTCCAGCACTGACAACACCTTCAACTTTCCACTTCTCAACTCTGCCAGCATACATCCATGTGGTATGACAGCCAGCAATGCATCTGCATCCACCATGTAAACACTGTGGCACTGGTGAGCATACACTGTGCATGATAAACACAATGTGACTTACAGCCAGTCAGCAGGTTGCACAGGCTGGTTTGTGCATTGATCAAGACCTGCTTGATCTGCAGCACTTGCAGCACAGCACTGTAATGCTCAAGCTGGGTCATCACCATCACAAACAGGGTGTTTGGCATAAGGGGGCAAGTAGGGTCCATAAGAAGATGTGACATAGCAATGTTTAGATGGTGCGCACAGTGTGTCAGACAGTGGTGGCAGATCAAGAGTCAAGCCCATTGCAGTGCACACCAGCACAGGGAATCAGGTGCAGTCTTTTTGCTTCCTTGTCACTTCCGCACACGTGGTTCCCCAGGGTGCGCGGAGCGGTTGTCTATATACGTTCGGAGCGATTTGAACCTTCGGACTACTACCTAATATACCTAATCTATATTACCTAAATTTATGTAGGGTCCACTTCTTCCTTCCAATAGTCCAGTCCGGCCGAGTTCGACATGTCGTTCGAAGAGCAGTTCGAAGGTCGGATCCGAACTCGGAAATTCGAATGTGCAGCACACGAGATTGAGCTCCACAATTTTTCCTGGGCACCGACAATCTTGATCCGTTCTTGTTTGAGACTACAGCATGCCTGTGTCCTTTCTCGCTGGTATGCTAACTGTCGTCGATGCTATGTCTATCATCTGGGATGTGTCCTCACTTGGAATCTAACGACACGTCCTTATGCGTTCGAGCTATTATTGAGCTCTACATGCACTCATTGAGCTCTGCCTTGGCGTGTACGGAAGCTCTGTGGAGAACATCGCATCTTGGTGCAATTTTCTGTTCAGAACTGCTCCGGTATCGTATATATCGCCCTCCTCAGTCGCGCCGCACGCCATTGATCCCCCAAACCGTTCACAATATGACCTCTCTCCTCCTTGCGACGCTTAGCATGGCTTTGGTGAGTGGGCATGTTGCCTTCGCCTATTGTGCTGCACATTCGAATTTCAAGGTCGGATCTGATGTTCGAACGACGCTCCGAACGACATTCCGAACGAGGTCCGAAAGGACTATGAGAAGGCATGGGAAGGAAGAATGGACCCTATACACAGCCTTAGGTCATATGGATTAGGGAGGATTCGAGTCCTTCAGATAGGGACGCTCCTTCGACTCTGGTTATCTCCCTTCACTTACATTATCCTTGATACTAAACCTTTCCTCTACAGTCAATCATTACTTTTACCCTCTGATTCCCTTATTCCGACTACCGATTCAAATCCTTGAATCCCGCTCCGCAACACTCGTTACTAGCCTTTCTAGTGTTCTCCTAATCACTCGTTCACTTCGGAGGGTCGTCGGGTTGCTTGCGCCTTCGGTAGGCATTGGCCACACTCCTGCCTGGGGTTTAGAAACGCGCGTCGAACCTCGAATCGGTCTTCGGACCTCTCGCTCCTTCGAAACTACCTTCGATTTGGCAGATACTACGTCTTGGAACTACCACTGCCTAGGCTCAAGCTACTATTGTCAACTCCCCCTCCAGCGGACTTACTCCTGAAGGCTCATTGGGAGGTGTAGAGTACACCAGCAGGAATGGCCCGTATTTGCCGAGCAGAGTATTCTGATTCTCAAACGATTCGTCTGTCATAGCTATATAACATATATGCAAACTTAACACAGAAGCCTTACTAAGCCATTGTGTCAATATGCTGTGAATGATCCTTCTCCGGCGAATATTCGTCTCTGCGAATGCTCATCTCATGACGGAGTACTCCTGCTCAAACGTGTCAGCGGTGGGAATGGTTGGGTCACGACCCATGACAAACCTTGAGTGAGCGCCTCCTCCGCTTCGCGGCCCTTCATGATCTTCGTTGCTTCTTTGTGGAACGCCACAAATGCTGGAGTAGTCTCAAACTGCGCGGATCGGTTATCAATGGGTGGCCCACTGTCAACTCGATTACACACACCAATTCGTCCATCTCCTCCAATCTCCTCCCAGCTGTCTCGGGATAAAACGCCCACATGGTCACAGCATTCGTGAACGAGCAAATGGCAAAGACCATCATGTACCTCCATTGAACATTCTTGAACGCGATGGGTGTGACCTCCGCAATCATAAAGTTACTGACCCAAGCGGACATGCTCGTCAGACTCGTCCCCTTGGCACGTGTGCGAGTGTTGAATATCTCGGCTGGGTATGCCCACGACAGTGGTCCAATAGCCGCAGAGAAACAGAAATTGAAAGCCCATGTCATGAGGATGAATATCCAACCCGCCGCCACCTGGCCACTGATGTTGGGGTAGTTGGCCATGATGGCGGTTGCAACGATGAACCAGATCGTGTCGAGCAAATTTGCCCAGATGAGGGGCTTCCGACGTCCGAGGGCGTCAACGAACAGGACACAACAGGCTTCTCCGATCAGGGCGATCACGCTATTGATACTTTGAACAAGCAGAGTCTGGTGCGCTTGGAAACCGATGGCTGAGAACTGCAGCATCCATCAGCATGATCGAGGACATAGGGGAGCTGGGAGGCTTACTATCTGAGGGCTGTAGTATTGGATCGCGGAGACGCCGGTCATCTGTACTGAGAACTGGAGAACGAAACCCAGCGCAAGCCTGCGGAAATTGGACGGCACAAAGAACAGCTCTCCCCATGACTAATTTGGATCAGCTGGAGAACGAATCTGGTGTGTTCGTAGCACTTACGACTTGCCCAATCTCCGCCTCCCTCTTCAATGCCGCGTTAATATCTTCAAGCTCAGCCACCACAAATGGGTCATCGATATTCCCATGTGCGTGCAGACGGGCCAGGTTTGATAAGGCCTCTTCTTGTCGACCCTTGGATGCGAGCCACCGTGGCGATTCGGGGAAGAAGAGGATGAAAAGGAAGAGGGGCACGGCGGGAACGATCTGGATACCGAAGGGAACACGCCATTGGCGTTGATCTTGCCAGAAGAAGGCACCGTAACCTAGTTCACCACTTAGCAAGGAGCAAAGAAGAAAGGGATGATACCATACCGATCCAGGAAGCCACGAATGCGCCTATACCGAGGAGGAATTGTGTGAGTGTGATAAGCTTTCCCCTGATGCTAGGGTGTGCAATCTCGCTCTGATAAATTGGCGCGAGAGTCGCAAGCATACCGATACCGAATCCAGCCAAGAACCGCCCAACCATGAGGGTAGCAAGGTTCTGAGCTGCCGTCTGCGATATCCCTCCTACCATGAAGACCACCGTACTGCCCATGATGGCCCTCCTCCTTCCGAGGTAGTCACCCAATAGTCCGGCCGGGACGGACCCAAACAGCGCACCGAGGACGAGCAGGGAGACGATGAAGCCTTGCGAGGTGGGGTTCTGTGTTGAGGCGTCGGGGCCCATTTGGGCGAGGAAGGGCTTTCCTGGTAAGATGGAAGAGATGACACCCAAGTCATATCCGAAAAGAATCGATCCAAGGGCTGCAAAACACCCGCAGAGCCAGGTGTAAACGCGCGGCGAGAGCGGCATCGCTGAACAGTTCGAAAGTGATTCCAAGTGCAGAGAGCAGACTGTAAGGTTGGTGCTCCTACAAGACAAGCACAATTGCAGTCACTGGGGACTGCGAACCATCGCACATCAGGCACGCCATTTTTATGATTATTTAAAGCGTTCCTTCTTGTCGAAGCCGCTCGGGATCTGGTTGTCCGACTACCCGAGAGTCACACCATCACAGAATTGTGTTTACCGCATGGTACCAGTTCAAACACAGCAGAAGAAGACAAGAGGAAAGAGTTAACCAAGCGGATACGGGCGGACCGGTGTAATATCGCTCCGCATATATTTGGAACGTCGCGTAGATGTGCGATCGTTCCGACAGATCGAAGAAGACACGATAAAGAGAAGAACGCGACTCGCTTGCTTCATCTAGCCAGCCATGTGAGCAAATCGTAGTAGTTGAACTGCATGGTGCGCAAGAACCCCGGAAAGTAAGTTTGTTGGATACTGAGTGATCGGGGATATGAAAGGGCAGCCATACCCCGGATACTTGAGCCGGTGGTCAAGACGAAAGAGGGAGCAGAAAAAGCGCGGCAAATCCCCGTGGGCGCATCATGACCACGTGATTGACATTTATTCGCGAAGCTGACAAGGGCCAATGATCTCCCCGCACCGTCTTTACATCGGAGTTGCCCTCCACGCATTCCCCGCATTCATTCATCTCGGAGTAGTAACATGCCGAACTCTGACGGCCATTATGTTTGCCCAACTGGGAACTTCAGTTGGCTCTCACTTCGCTCTTCTGCAACAAGCTCTGCCTAACAACGATCTCCTCGTGAACAGCAGCGACAATGTCACCAATCGAGATTCGAATCGATCCAAAGCGCGTCATCTCAGAAGTTGACCCGCGCATCTATTCTGGCTTCACAGAGCATATGGGTGCGTCTCTATATCTGTCCGCTCTGCAACCATCTAACACACCCAGGACGATGCATCTATGGCGGGCTGTACGACCCTGGCTCTCCTCTGGCAGATCCCAAGACCGGTTTCCGGAAAGACGTGCTCGAAGTGATCCGCTCGTTACGAGTCCCGATCGTGCGCTACCCGGGAGGAAACTTCGTTTCCTCCTACAAGTGGCAGGACGGGATCGGACCGCGTGAACTGCGCCCTCGCAGGCCAGAGCTTGCGTGGCTCGGGGAAGAGAGCAACCAGTTCGGCACGGATGAGTTTATGGCTTGGTGCAAGGAGGCGGAGGTGGAACCTTATATTTGCCTGAATATGGGCACGGGAACGTTGGAGGATGCATTGGGTTGTGAGTACATGTTTGCCTTGTATACTTGATTATTGACTTGGTCATGCCAGGGGTGGAGTACTGCAACGGTACCTCCAGTAGGTCTACATCTTGTTCACCTCTAGTAGATATAACCCCAACACCTCTATTTCAATAGACACCTACTGGGCGAGCCAGCGCCGGAAGAACGGCCATCCCGAGCCGTACAAAGTGAAATACTGGTCACTGGGGAACGAAGGTCCGTCCCTCCACCCATTCACCTCATAAACACACTCATCACTGCATAGTCTATGGGTACTCCCTTCTCCCCCTCCACTTGCTTAGCTAATCCCAGCCAGACCATGGCAAGTCGGCCAAATGACAGCCGAGGACTACGCCAAGACTGCCTTCCAGTGGGCTAAGGCGCTCAAGTTGCTCGACCCGAGCATTGAGCTCATCGCCTGCGGAGAAACGGGGTACGCAGCCTGGGATAGGGACGTGCTCAAGGTGCTCGCCCCGATGGTGAAATACCATTCCCTGCATCAGGTACGTGTTCTTCTCCGAAGGGTATGTCTGTTCTCACCTATGGTGATAGTACACCATCTCCGCTGGTGATCATATGGTTAACGTCGCCGGCCCCGCAGGCGCAGAGAAAGGGATCCAGATCACCAAGAGCATGTCCCCTCTCCTCCCTGCCGGATCATGCCCTCCTAACCCAGCCCAGGCCTAATCGAGTTAGCGCGAATCGAGAACTCCGTCCAAGAGCCCATCACGATCTGTTTCGAGTGCGTCTCCTCCCTCCCTCTCTGCTTGCGCCACTGAATGCGTGTCAGCGAATGGAACGTCTGGGATCCGAAGAGGGCTATCGGCTCCCAAGGCGCGGAAGAGCACTACGACCTCTCGGACGCGCTGGCCGTCGCTTGCTGGCTCAACGTCTTCATAAGGCAAGCAGACATAGTCAAGATCGCTTGTATTGCGCAGTCCGTGAGTCCCCTCCCGGCTCCCTCCAACCCTATACCCCTAACTGAAGAGGAACAGGTGAACGTCATCTCCCCTGTGATGACACGCCCCGATGGGTTATTCAGGCAAACGACCTTCTACCCTCTGTTCCTCTTCGCGAACTACATGCGCGGCTCCTCCCTCCAGGTATCTGTCTCTTCCCCGATCTATACAGGGAAAACGAGACCAGAATGGATACAGCACGTCTGCCCGCCTCCGTTCGTCGACGTTTCGGCCGTCCTGTCCGAAGACGGGAAGGAGGTCCGCCTAGCAGTGGTGAACCGGCATCCGGAGGCCGACCAGGAGTTGGAAATCCACTTTGCGGGCGTGGACGTTGGTGCTGCTGTGAGGGTGTATGAGGTGTGGCATGAGGAGGGACTGGGAGTGAGGAACTGGTTTGGGGAGGAGAGAGTCCGGGTGGAGGAGAGGAAGGAGCAGGTGAGGGAGAAGTTGAGGGTTAAGAAACACTCGTTTACCCTTTGGTGTTTCACCCTCCTGGGGGCCTGAGACCGATACCTACTGTGAGGGCACAGTGTCTAGCAAGGCTGCTGACTATAATGTGAAGAGATGAAGAGACCGAAGGCAGAGAACGGTATAGGAATTACAACTGCTAGGTAGCATAGGAATACAGTGGGTATATGATACAGTAGGCATCTAGCGCCTAGAGAGTCGGCTGCACCTGGGCAGCAAGGGCCACTTGGGCCATGGGTGGGCATAAGATATCGCACACGTGAATGGTGCGTGGTGCGTGGTCCCTCAAGAACCTGGTGATGGCCTGGGCTGCTAGGCCGGCCGTTGGTGACGGTGGTAGTGGGACGCTGTCCCGTTCGGTAGCTTGGTTTGGTCGGCATCGCGAGATCGGCAAGGGGAAAATGAAGGGGGTGTCGCAGGAGGGCGTCGGTCGATCACACGACATCAACATACCTCCAATCCCTCACCCACTTCCTCCACTCCTGGTCCTCATCCCTCCGCTCAAGGGCATCCTCCATCCCCTTTCTTCCCCCGCTCTCAAGCTCGGGCTCAGGCTGGGGCTCCCGCTCGTCTAACAATTCCCGTTTCTCTAGCCCTTCTTCAGGGATAGGGGCACGACGGACAAGCACGAGCGGCTTAGGTGAGTCCCAGCATTTGGTGCTCGCTGTTTCAGGGCAGTTGGCGCCGTCCAGCCCGTTGGAGGACATGCTATCCGTTCTCAGCAATCCGGTCCTCTGTTCTCAGTCAGTTTCCGCAAAAAAAAAGGGACGAAGGGAGGGAGCGTACTAGGTCGTAGGCGCATACACCGGCATTTTGATACCCGCAGTCGAGCCGTTGGGAGACTTCGATAGAGTGGTCTGAGGGGGTGTTGCTTAGGTCTTGGGAGGGGCAGGTGAAGAGGCACTTTTGTCTTGGTTGTTGTTGTGCGGGGGCGGCTAGGACGGTGAGGAGGAGGAAAGGGAGGAGGGGGAAGAACATCTTGTGCGTGGGAAGGGTGGAAAGGGATGAAGGATAGTGAGTGAGCTGACTAGCAGCTAGAGCGTCTTGAGGGGAAAAGAGCGCATATAGCTTGGTTTTTATACCCTCCTCTTAAACTCACCTGGTTGAATTGCTCAGCCCACGGCTCACATGGGCGATGATACTTCTGACCCCACCTTCCTTGTGAGAGTGGAGCCAACGCCAGTAGCGACCAGAGTGAAACGCCATTAGACCACGAACCACGGCCACGAACCACGGCCGGATGTATTCTCTTGCGTCATCACGACCCAGGCTGAGACAGCAACAGAGTATGAAACTATTGTCCTTTGAATCTGTTATTGACCGCCTTAGAACAATAGGAGGGTGTGCGATGCTTCGGCCGGGCAGAGGCACGGTGGTGGGCACCCCGAGTTGATACAGAGATGCGCCAATACGAAACAAAAGATGCGAACGCGGCGCAGGGGCTGTGTGACTTCTGCCGAATAGTGCCGGATTAGGTAAGCGAATATGATCGACGAATCTGCCACACGACACGCGATTGACGCCGCCACCGAAAAGTAAACTCAAGGATGCTCGACCATTGTTCTATATCGCACAAAGGTGGGCACTCCCTAACTCAAGTTTGCAGTAATTGACAAAGATGCAGGCGGCCTCGTCCTCTGGACACGGTCATTCACACCCTCCTCCCCATTGGGGCCAGTAAACGCCCTGGTGAGGGAAGCGCTCATAGAGGGTCAGGGCAGGTCTGTCTCTTCCCAGAGAAAAGGGGAAGGGGAAGAGGATGGGGAGACAGAAGGGTACGAGAAAGATGGATACGCGATTCGGTGGACGACGAGTAACGAGATGGAGTTGATATTCGTCGTGCGTCCCCCCTTCCCAAGCACCTAAAGCATACCCTGACTGAGGCGCATCGCAGGTAGCCTACCAACGTTTCCTGCACCTGTCGTACATCCCCTCCCTCCTGGCGCAGCTCAAGTCTTTCTTCCTAAAGCTATTCACCCCCTTCCTCCTCTCCCTTATCCCGAGTTTGCACGCTACCGGCCCAACGCTGGTGCAAGTCGAGGGTGGGTGGGACTTTGACCGCGCCTTCCGGGGGTGGGACAAGGTGGTCGATAGGGTGTTGAAGAGCGTTCAGGAGGAGAGTAAGGGCCGGAGTGCGTTGCCTAAACCTGTACTCCTCGCCGCTGAACCAGCGAAGACTTGTATGCCTCTGTTTTCTGCTTTCTTGCACGGCATCTCACTGTTTTCTCCTCGTAGTACCACCCCCAGACTTGGTATCAGAAGATACCCATACGGAGGAAGAGATCACCCGGAACGTGGAGGCACTCAAAACCCGCTTGCGTGGGCGGGGTGCACTGGCAGGGGGCAGGCGGGGCGGGAAGAGGGGCAAGAAGCCGGCCGGGACGCCGGGTAGCGAGTGCGTCCTTCCTCCTTTCTCATCGCAATATCAAACATCGTAACTGACTGGAGTAGCTCCGGGTCAGAGACGTTCTCACCTGCAAAACCGAAGAAAGCCCAGAGAAAATGGGGAGATTCCGCTCTTTCGCAGGAGGAGATCGCTGCGCTGGACTACTCGTCCGACGCGCCTCCTTCCGATGGCGGAGCGGCGGTTGTCCCGCCTGCACCAGCGCTAGAGGAGCTGGTAGATCAGAGCAGTATGGGCCGGAGGAACAAGGAAGGGATGTACGAAGTTGCCGACCTAGAGTCACCCGAAGAGGAGGAAGAAGGGGACGATATCCTCCTCCGTGCGTTTGGCACTTCTGCTACGCAGGAAAAGCCTGCCCAGGAAGGATGGTTCGGAAACATCGTCTCCCGTCTTACTGGCAGTCGGATGCTTACGGACCAAGAACTTCAGCCTGTACTGGGGGCGATGAAGGAACATCTGATGAGGAAGAACGTCGCTGCTGAGATTGCGGACAAGGTCGTGGAGAGTGTAGGTCGAGAACTGAGGGGTAAGAAAGTGACCGGGTTCAAGGGTGCGTCTCCCTTTCGCCATCTTGGTGGCTGCTGGGTATTGACTGCGTCGGGGTAGGGATAAAAACCGAAGTCAGGGCAGCGCTAAGCGCCAGCATCACCCGTATCCTCACGCCCAAGACGAGCACCGACCTGCTCCTCTCCATCAGAGCCAAACGTTCCTCTTCCCTCCTCTCCTCTCCCGTCCCTTACAGCCTAACCTTCGTCGGCGTCAACGGGGTGGGCAAATCGACCAACCTGTCCAAAGTCGCCTTCTGGCTGCTGCAGAACGGGCTCGAGGTGCTTGTCGCTGCGTGCGATACGTTCAGGAGCGGGGCGGTCGAGCAGCTCAGGGTGCATGTGAGGAACCTTACTCTGCTCGGAGGGGCACAAGCGGGCGGAGGCAGGAGGGTCGAGCTGTTCGAGAAAGGGTACGGGAAGGACGCGGCGGGCATCGCGAGGGAGGCGATTGCTTATGGTGCGTTTTGCTCTCGGTTCGGTTTGTCGGTGCTGGGACTGATCGGACCAGCCAAGGAGAACGCGTTTGATGTCGTGCTTATTGATACGGCTGGGAGGATGCAGGACAACGAGGTACGCCCCTCTGGAAGGAGACCGAAACCGATCAACCCGTTGAGTGACTGACTGACCGTGTTCTCCCTCCTCTCCCTATTCACAGCCCCTCATGCGCGCCCTATCCAAACTAGTAGCAGTCAACAACCCCGACAAGATCATCTTCGTCGGCGAAGCACTAGTGGGGAACGAAGCCGTTGACCAACTGACGAAATTCGACCGGTCCTTGAAGGACTTTAGCGCTTCCTCTGGCTTGGGAGCGGGCAGGGGGAGAGGCATCGACGGGATGCTTGTCACTAAGTGGGACACGGTGGACGACAAGGTTGGTGCGGCGCTTAGTATGACATACGTGACTGGCCAACCGATCTTGTTTGTTGGGTGTGGGCAGGTGGGCCGTCTACCGAACCGACCTTTTGTGGTTGTGGGCTAATCAAGGACAGACGTATACGGATTTGAGGCAGCTTAGGGTCGGGCATATTGTTGATGCGCTCCTGAGGGACTAGACGGGCTTGGCTAGAGGTTTGTTTTGTAGATTTTCGCGTTGTTGCACTCCTCTCTTTGAATGGCATGCTACTGTGAATGGATATGCTGCAGCCGGTACACTACATTGCACACGGCACAATACGTGTTCATTGCACTGCACGAGTACTGTGCTGCACGTCCTAATTTCGAAGCCGGATTCGATGTTCGAACGGCAATCTGAACGACACTCCGAACGAGGTCCGAAAAAGGGATCGGTTCAAGCCGGCTCTCCTGACTCGAATGGCCTCTCCGAACGCGTTCACCCCTGTTGGTCTTATGCTTGCATGGCTGGAGACTCGGAACTAGGATCGAGCCTTCGAAACTATCTTTGGACTAGCTACCCCTTCGGATATCCCATACTGTATAGCGATATCCCATATTGCCTGGCAATAATCCCCGTAATGGCAACACACCCCCTTCCCCTAATCAGTTTGCCTTATACACTTAATATAGGGTGTGGCTAATGATGTACTTCGGAATAGGGACTGCTCCCACTTCTTGGTTTTCTCTTATCTTTACCTTACACCTTACACTACACCCTTAACATACAGCCAATCCTTGCTCTCTTTCTCCCTCCCTCCCTCTAATTCAACCAATCCGAACTCTCGTTCGAACTTTTGAAGGGCACTCCGAGGCTCACATCCTCTCAGCTGCCTTTTGCTAGGCAGCCATTCGACTCGGACGGCCTCTCCGAACGCTCGCGCCTCATTGGGGACTTAGGCTCGCACCTCAGGAGATTCAAAACTAGGACCGAACCCTCGAAGCCTCTTCGGACCCTTTCGGAACGGACTTCGATAATTGCAAGACCTATACCTACGAACTGTTATCTACAGGATTCCTGGCACTACTGTCGACTCCCACTCCTGAAGCCTCATTGGGAGGTGTAGAGTACAGCACATACAATCCAACCTTCCGATATCATTTACCCAATAAGGATCCACATGTTGTATGAGACAAGCAAAGTCTGAGTCGTGCTATTACCCTCACCGTCCGGTCACTTTTCCGCCCGGCCATCAGATAGCGGGCATGAGTTCAGACAGGTTTTCCTGCCTGGGCTTGAACACTGCTGGGAATTCCTTCGGGTGCCTGGACAAGATGTCAGCACGACACGATACAACAAGATACGTAAGTGGACGTACACCGTCAGGCCCTTATCGGAGAAGTCCATATCATTCGGAACGATGTCCTTCCCGTTCGCGTCCTTCGCCTTCTCGATATCGAATGCCCAGAGCAGGTAAGCCATCTCCACATAGACAGTGTTGTTCGCAAAGTCCCGGCCGGGGCAGATCCGCCTCCCGTGGCCGTAGGCGAGGATGTCGTCGTGGTAGCCTGGGAGGGAGGGGCGGAGCTGGCCCTTCTCGTCCAGGTAGCGTTCGGGACGGAACTTCTCCGGCTCCGGGAAGAACTCTGGGTCGCGATTGATTGACCTACAGGAGTCAGAATGGGCAGGGCTAGGGGAAAGTAGTTGGTGCTAGACGAACCAGATGTTGCCAATGCACATCGTTCCCTTAGGGATGACCCATTCCTTGTAGTGAAAGTCCTCGCAGGCGACGTGCGGGATGCTCGCAGGCACACTCGGGCGCCAGCGCATCGTCTCCCTAAGCAGAGCCTGGAGGTAAGGCAGGCGCTCGCGGTCCTTGAACGTCGGGGGATTCTTGCCGCACACCTCGTCGATTTGCTTTTGAGCTGTCTTCATCGCCTCGGGGTGGAGCAGCATCGCCAGGCAGAAGAAGTGCACTGCGCCTACGGTCGTCTCGGCTCCAGCACCGCTATTGATTCATCAGACAATGAAGAGGGGTAAGAACAAGTATACGCGTACAAGAGCGTGCCTGCTGTCCATGCTGCCTCTTGTTGGCTAACACCAAACTCCTTGCATGCCTCCTCCGTGCTCGCCGCAAAGCCCTTGGCCTTGCTGCCGTCGCCCTTGCTTTCCTTGCCCTCTTTGTACAGGTTCTCGAAGAACTCGTCCGTGTCCTTGAAGAAGCGTTCGCCGTACTGCTTCCACTTGGCGAGGCTGGTGGGAACGTATCTCAGCGCAGGAATGAGCTCGACCATGTATGCGAGGGGCATGGCGGACGACAAGAGCGCATCGAGGATCTCGTTCATGTGGTTGACACGCTCCTCGACCTGCTGAGACTGGAACAGACTAGGCGCATCGTACAGCGCACGCCAGATGATACTCGCCGCTGCACGCTGGCGGACGACACCAAGCTCGACACGGGGCTGTTCCAGCAGCACACGAACGAGCCGACCTGCTTCCTCCTCCTGCATCGAGTAGTATGCCTCGGCAGCGCGGATGTTGAACCCTTCGTGAACGATGCGGCGCATGCGCCGCCAGCTACGCCCCTATCAGCACCTGGTCGACTAGTACAGCAGAAAGGGTGCTTACCGATCGCCGTGAGAAAGGGTAGAAACCATTAGCCCTCCGGTCATGTACTCGCCCATCATGATGAACTTTGGTCTGTCACTGCAACTTCCACTGATGCGATCCAGCACATCTGCGGCGGCCTTGGCGGTTGTGAGCACGAGAATCTTCTGACCGGCTGCGTTCAGCGCGTAAATCTCTCCGTGATCCTGCTTCCAAGCGTCCAGCTTGAGGAAGAGGCCATTTAGGGGGATATCGAGCGCGTTTCCGAGGATCGGGAGGCCTTTCGGTCCCGGTGGGAGACGAGACAGGCTTGTGAGCTTGTACGTGACATATGCCACAAGTGCGAAACCGACGGTCCAAAGCCACATCATACTGGGTAGGAAAGACAGGAGTGCAACGAGAGCGATGTCGAGTGAGCGTTTTTGGGAAAGTGAAATGGAACAGACACGGGGCAAAACCGGCACACGTCGGGCTTTTTTGGTGCACTTCAGTGTATAGAGTTCATTCAGGAGTCCACACGCACGACAAACGTAAGGACGATGCGGGCGCCGCGCAACTCCAACCAACCAGAGATGCGGGAAAGCGGGACGTACTCGCATCAGAGGGCTTCACAACGTGCCGTTAATCTCCCTTGTGGGGGGCCAGGGAAACGGGTGCGGCAAATCGAGACTGAATTGGGGTGGCAGAGATAATCACGTTAGAAAGCATGACCGTGATGTCAGTTATCATACCGCCGTGATGTACGGGGAGGGAACATTCTGTGAAGAATAGTAGCCGGTAGAGTTGCACGGAGATGAGATTGCCGCCGGCTGTTCCACCAACCCAAGCGTTGCACAGGCCAAGACTGAAAAACGTTGTCCAGGCTTGGGAGAGGACAGAGAAAGATATAGTCAGGCATCGGTCCAGTTTCCCGACTTTCCAAAAATGTCAATGAATAGAGGAGCTTCCACTGGGCTAATATCGTCTGGGGTGGAACCAATCGGTAACAAATGTTGCCGTTATCATGCGCCTATAAAAGATTAGGGCACATGATTCCCCTAAGGTTGTATTACCTCTTTGACGCGCAGAAGTCCACTTATAATTGCGTGCGGCGGGAGAAGATCAACAAACCTTGATGATGGTAAAGATAATACTGGACCCTGGTTGGCTAGACCACGCTGCACTAATAAATTGAAAGCACCGCCACCATTTCCTAATTTAACTTTGCTTCCGCCACAAGCCCTCCGAAGGGATTGTGAGCGCCCTTCGGTGGTGGGAAAACCTGTTCGTCGCTTCTTCCTTCCCGAACAGCGCACACTTGGCCCACATACAGTCAGCATATGGGCGGACACCGACCTTGCCAACCGCTGCAGCTGCCCTGTCGCATCTCGGAACTGCCATATGAAGCCCTACTGGATTCTGATGTTTTTTTTTTCTGAATCAATGCAGAAGCGTTGATGATGGCTGCGACTCGCTGGCTGCTTCTTGTGCAGGAAATTCGGGCATGTTCTTCTAACACGCAACATGCTATTTCTCACATTGTCGGCTTGTGCGGGCTTAGTTGTAGTAAACTTCTCTCAAGTCCGGTTTGGGTGTGTAAGGAGGCAAAAAGTGTGGAGTCTGGGCACATTCCAGTTCGCACCCTGTTCCCTTAAAACATCATCGGTGCGTGCTATCGTGTTGAAGCCGGACTCGGCACATACCGGACGCGCTCACATTGCCACAGATAATCCTTACAAGCTCGGCTTCGTCGTTCCTCGTCAAGGGGCATTTAGAACAGTTGTGTGCCTTTGCTCCACCGAGGTCACGCACGGTTTGGCAAGGGCGAGCCATAAGAACTTGCGCAGTGTGCGCCGGATTCTGCCTTGATGCAACATGCGGTCATTGGGGAAGTCATACGACCCCTTCTTGGTCTTAAGACGAACCCTAAAACACGCTCGTCACGATTGGGGGAAGGTGAGATATTATGCGGGCGGAGGAGGCTGGCTTCTTTAGCGACCAAATGTCTGCCGCGGCCGTCGGCTCGCCATCCCTTGCCTGGCCAACGTCTCGGTGGGAATATCTCAAGGCAAACGCATATGTCTGTGAATATATTTCGGAAATTCAAGTTCCCGCAGGCTTCCCCGTTACTTGAAGTCTGTTTCTCTCCACCCGACGCGCTTCCCATTTGCATTCCATCCGTCCTTCGTAGATTTCCCCTGGTTCAGATCTCCATTCCTTCCTTTCTCTTACCCTCTTTTCTATCATATTCCTTTCACCAGACCCACAATTTTTGACAACCCAGCCGAGGTCTACCGAACGCGACGCATAGAAAAGGCAACGGACGCGTGGATAGTCCCACCCCATCCTCGCCGCTCCCCGTTTCTCATTCCCCCCGACCTACAGGACGTGTTCTTGAATCTTCGTCCTGAACGCGGTTCCACAGCCATGGTCAACATTGGGATCGATGAGGCCGCCTTCTTTGGCATCATCTGCCTGGCATTTTTCTACGGCATCTTCTTCACCCTCTTCTGCCTGGCAGTGTATGTGCTCGCCTACCCTCAAAACGGCCGACGCGTCAACATCCCCTTCCTGATATCCACCGCCCTGTTCTTTTGCTTGATCACGCTCTACTTCATTGTCCGATGGATGCGTGCGTACGTCGCGTTCATCACTTCCGCACAAGCACAGGCAGGTGGTGCAATTCTTTTCCTGGAGCAGGTCAGCGAATGGTGCGTCGACGTCATGGCTGCTCTGCAGTATTCAGTTGCACGGTCCCAGGGTCTAACACTAGCGCTCTTCCCCACAGGCATGTCGCCGTCAGCACATCTTTATGGGCGGTCACGGGCGCTCTGGCAGACTTGATGCTGATATACCGGCTGTGGCTGGTCTGGGATCGGTCTTATTATGTGGTCATTCTGCCACTTATCATGTGCCTTGGTAGTCTGGGTAAGCGTGCCTCCTTCTGAGACCGATAATATCTGACCTTTTTTGAATCCAAGTTACTGTGTTTGCAGTGGTGTATGAAGTGTCTCACGCAGAGCTGACAACAGCATACGCTACCGCCATCACCAACTGGGCATATTCTTTCCTTTCGCTTGGCCTGGCACAGAATTTCCTCGTCACTGGACTTATTGTGCTCAAGATCTGGAAGATCAACATGGGTGTCCGTGGCCACACGAGCACCGTCGCTTCCCTATGGCCAGTCATCGCAGTGCTTATGGAGTCCGGTGCACTGTACTCCAGCTGCGTCATGATCACTCTCATCGTAAGTTCTCTTCACTAGGCCAGGAAGAACGACTCGTGCTGACTGAACACTTAGACCTACGTGACTCAAAACAACGGTTCTGCAGTGATGACAGATATCATCGTGCCCATTATCGGCATCACCTTCATGCTGATCATTGTGCGTGTCGGTCTCGGATTCACAAAGAGCCGCTCGAACGCGATGACTTCTGGGCAAAATTACCCGTCTCGATCAAACGCCGCGGGGGTGATGAGCTCCCGCCGGCCGCAGCCGAACCAGAGCTCGAACGGGCTCGAGTCCGGCGTCGACTCCGACTACCCCCTGCATGATATCCGCGTTACCCTGGAGCGAGAAGTCATCCACGAGTTCGGGAGCGACAAGGAGCCCTCCGTCCTGAAAAGTAAAGAGCAGGACACGGATTCGATCTAGACTAGTGAAAGAGGGCCACCCCCTCCTCGCATGGCAGCATCTGTGTAAGATCTTCACTTCATATTAGCATATCTTCGCGCTTGAGATATCCTGGCTAGGGAATTCATTGAGATTCAATGTGACAATCTTTGGGAAAAGGGCGGATTGTTTGGCCCGGGTTGTTCGGTGTTGTGATACCTTGGGTCGCGTAACCACTACTGTTTCAATATTCTGCACCAATACAAGACCGTGGCAGTCTAAACCCCGTCCTTTTTCTACGCCAGAAATTTTTGGTGTCGGTCAAGGACTGTACTCTACACCTCCCAATGAGGCGTCGGGGGTAGGTCCGCTGGAGGGGGAGTAGACTGTAGTGGCACGAGCCTAGGTAGTAGTAGTTACGACGTCCAATAGTGGCCAACCCGAAGATAGACTCTAAGGATAGAGCAGTCCGAAGGTCGGTTCGAGGGTCCGACGTGCGTTCCTAACCCCAGGCAAGAGCGTAGCCACTGTCTTCCCTAGACACAAGCAGTCCGACGGGAGTCCGGAAAGTAGGAGTGGCTGCGAGGACTCGAAAGGATACGAACGAGTGTTGCTGTTCACGGATCGAGAATTCGAATCGATGATCGGAACGAGACAAGTAGAGGGTAGAGTAAAGAGTGACTGTAGAGTAGAGGAGTAGTATTGGTTGTAAAGTAAGTGATCACCCGAGTCTGAACGAGTGAGAGCGAACAAGAGAGTAAGTAAGTGCAAGCGTCCCTATCCGAAGTACCCGAATCCTTCTATATACGTTCGGAGCGGTTCGGACCTTCGGGCTACTACCTAATCTATTCCTAATCTATATTACCTAAGGCTATGTCTAGGGTCCACTCCGTCCTTCCAATACATGTCGTTCGAAGAGCCTTTCGAAGGTCGGATCCGAACTCGAAATTCGAATGTGCAGCACAGGACTCGCTGCTTCAAGCTGGTCTGCAGGAAGGTTCTCATTCTTCATCTATGCGAACCTTCTGCAACCCGGCGTGTACACTGTTTGGGGCGGAAATACTGAGCTGGTTTTAGTACACGTTTTGCCGAAGTGATCCATGCTCCACATCAAACCCGAGGGACATGAATGAGGCAGCCCAGTTTGGCCATCGCGCGTATCCCAATTGCATCGGAGAGTTCCCACGGCTCTGTCATTCCTACCACTGGATTGACTCAGCTGGAAGAAGCTGAAATAGCTGAGTTTTAGAGAATAGACGAATGACGGGTGGATTGCTTGTTTGGGAGATGTGGAGGATAGTAAAATTCTGTGGGTAAGAACTCCAAGTAGGCACTTGTGTTGGTTAACAACGTGGGAGCGGTCGTCAGCAACGCAAGCCGCCTACCAAAGACATCTTTATTAGTCTAAAATTAGCAGCCATTGGATATCCACGTCCATGGCAAAGGCAGAGTCGACTAATATTCTAAAGTCTTAACCACCTGCAAGACGACAGTTCAACTTCCGCACATGCTAACGGCCGGAGCTGCGGCTCCGCCCTTCCCTCCGGCGCACGTGGCTCGTTCCGCTCCTTTCCGTCTCTTCACCTGAGCTCATCGACCTCTGCCTCCCCTCACTGCCGTCGCCGACGCTCCATCCGTCCATCCCTGAACCGTACAAGATGCGTCCCACCATCCGCCGCATGCTGCCAACGCGGTTCGACATCAAGCCCACTCCGTGGAACTATATGCCTGTCGGTCATGTGCGTCCTCTTCTCCCCCACCTCATCAGAACCTTCGACTGACAACAAATAGCGTGCCATGCCTTGGCTTGCACCTCTCTGCCTCTGGGGCGCCGCAGCTGGGACGTTTGTTACCCTTCTCATGAGCCCCGTCCCGTTGTTCCAGAAGGATGTGCTGCTCAAGATCCCTGGTGTACGCTTCCTTTCTTCATGTCTTTGGAAAGAGGTACTAACTTGAAGGACAGATCAAGGACTTTTTCGAGGATACCACGCCGATTAGCGACAAGCCTTTCTGAGGGCAAATGGACCACGCTGGGAAGATGGTGGGAGGGTGATGAGGGGCACGCTTGGTTGGAGCAGGAGAGGAAAACTAGACGGTATAATACACTCCCTGTCAAATCCTACATTTCTCCCGAACCCAAAATACAACGTAATCCTATCATTGCTACAGCTTCGCCTTCTGCTCTCCCTCCCCATCCTCCAGTAACCTTACCCCCAACACTCGCTCCAACTCCTCAACCGCCTCCCTCGTCTTCCCCACAACCACCCGAATAGTCCTCATCCCCTTCCCCTTCCCCGCTATCAAATTCTCCCCAATATCGTCCAAATACACACATTCCTCGCCCTTCAACCCGTTCCTCTCCAACAGCAAGTCGTAGATCCCTTCCTCGGGCTTCCGGCAGCCAGAGAAGGAGGAATCGACAAAGTCGTCGAACAGTGCTCGCATGCTTTCTGGTGCGGGCCCAGAGGTCCAGCCTAGGAATCGGAGTTCCACAGCTGCACCAGGAGAGCTGGCCGATTCGGCAAGCAGGGAATCGTATGCCGCCGTATAATTATTCGTCAGAGCGAGCACTTTGTACTTCCCCAGCGCTAGTCTTATGAGTTTTCCTCTCCGAACTGACTGGGAAACGCACCTCTCAGTTTTTGCACAGCAGCAAGTATCCAAGGATCGAACTTCGCCGCCTCGCGCATCATGCGCCCGAACAGCTCCCTCCCGTCCACTTTATACACTCTTATCTTCAGTTCCTCTGCCGGTTGACCGCGTTTCGCCAGCCATTGGGAATACGCGACCTTCCCACGCTCCGCATCCGACAGTTCCTGGGACCAGAGGTCGTAGAACTCCCAAAGGGAGAGCTCAGCCCGCTCGAACCTTGCCCAAGCGCTCGTCGCTCCCAGGTTCGTACTTTAACCCCCCAAAACAGATCAGCTTGTGTTATTGGAAAGAGGGGGGGCGTACATGAAGACGTTCAGATAGTCGGCTGGGAGACCGAGTTCGCTAGAGTAGGAACGGATCACCGCTACGGGGGAAGAGAGGAGGACACCGCCGATGTCGAATACCACTGCTTTGTATTGTGACATTGGAGTTGTTAGGTATGTGGGAGTGAGGAAGGGCAGGGAAGGGATGGACAGGTTTATTAGAGAGTGGGCTGAGCTATGAGAAGATAAACATTGATGATGTCGAAGATGTGAGAGAAGAGAAGGGTCTCATAACCGGTCGCCGGCGTCACTTTTAGAAAAGAGTCTTTCAGCATCTTGATGTCTGCTCTCTAACTGGAAGGCTGAAGTGAAGAAGTTGGGAGAGATGGGGTGGAGGGGTCGAACGTGCCCTAGTCTGAGGTTGAGAGACGTTCTTCGTTGATAGACGCTGACAGGCAGCATCAGGAGAATGAAGAATGAAGATGGGGAGTAGTGACAGCAGTCCATTAGCAAGCAATTCGGGCACATTACACGTACAAACACATATGAATGTACAAGCCGGCTCCAGGCCAGACGACATTACCTTACAATCCCCGCAATCTCAGAACCGTATAGACTCATTACTCTGTCTCCTCCTTTGTCTCTGTCTCTGCTTCCTCCTCATCCTCGGGATTGGAACTACTCCTACGGCGAATCGCCTGCACCTGTTGGGCAAGTGCGACCCTCCTCGAGACTTTCTTCAACCTGATCCATTCAAATGCCTGCCCAAACCGACCAGCCATTAGCCATGAGCACCCAACCTCCAGGCCCCAAACCCCAATGGAATAGAACGCACCTTGAGCCTCTCCTCCTCCCACATCTGCTCATCTTCCAGCTCCCGTCCTTCCTCCCCTTCCCCCTGCCCGTGTCCATCCCCCTCCCACTCCCACGTCATGGACAAAGGAGACCCTCTCCAACCCAGTAGATGCGCATAGGGGTAGTCCGACGTCGAGGGCGGGACGAACTGGTGCAGTGATAAGCTGCTCCCGGGCCTTTGGAACGGGTCCTCGGGGATCGATAAAGGAGGAGTTTGGCGGCCGCTCTGGGCCAGTGGGAGAGGGAGGTCTTCGGGTACAGCAGTCAGTGCCGAGGCAGTATGTTTCCTTGATTCAAACATAGGCGACTCAGCACGCGGGAAGGAAGAAGGCGGCGTGCTCCCCCCTCTTGCCATAGCTGGTCTTTCTCTCCCTTCCCTTGCGGGCTGTTCCGGCGTGCGAGGGGGGGTGAGGAGCGGTGCCGGCTGCATAATCGGGAGGGAGGAAGCACGATTATGCGCTTTCTTCGGGAGTGGCGGCGGCGGCGGCTTCGTACCAGGACCAGGACCAGTCCCGACCGAAGCAGCCTGAGCAGCGGGCTTAGGATCGGCGAGACTCAGGCTAAGCTCGAGCTGAAGAAGCCATTCGCTTGCGTACAGGGGGAGGTTCGTGTCTGGCGAAGGGGGGGATGGGGCGGTGGAGAGTGCTTGGTTTGGTGGCGGGGTGTGGACTGGTTTTCCCGGAGGGGGATGGGGATGGGGATGAGATGCAGACAGGCGGGAGGGGGAAATACCGGGCATCGTCGAGTCCTATAGGTTGTATGTATGGTCTGTCGAAGGAGAACGTGCTGTAGTGGTGGTCAGGAAGAAAGACCTCGCAATCGGATCGCAAGATTTGGTGCTTCAAGCTCCGTCTCGTCTCGCTTCGCTTCGCTCAGCCAATCGATCAATCAATCAACAACGCAGTTCCGATCAGGGTATACCGAGGCAAGGGGAAGAGCATCAGAATCCCGCTGTGGAAGCTCTTGAAGTGCAGTCTAGATCGTCCAACGCAATGTCCAGAATGTGCGGGACGAGAATCCAAGAGGAGAGAAGGGATGACGTCCGCTCTGCTGGAGTGTTGCAGGCAGGTGACAGTCGAACAGGACTAGTTTCCTGCTAGCGAGCAGACAAGAGCAAGTCACAGTTACAGCTTAAGATGGACACGAAGATGTCAATATCCATGCCCCCCCCTGATTGATGATTGTCCAGCACTGCACCGGCCAGGGGGCAAGGTTTCAGCCAGCGCATACATACGGTACATACAGGTCATTGTTACCTCATCATTTAGGGGCTGTAAAAGCTAATTAGGAGCAGATGGGGGCTGAAGGGCAGAAGGGCAGAACTCTTCTAGGGAGAAGCGGAAGGAGGATGTTACATGTGCTGTCAAAGGGAAGAAAGGCAGGGGAATAGGGTTCCATTGTCTGACTTTGGGAATGTCTGCCGCGTGTTCGTATTGATATCGAACACACCGAACATGCACAAACAGTCGAATATAGACACTGAGACCACATTATCAGGGTATCGTACATGTTAAGATACACAGTTGGGAGTCCCACATTCATACATCGTCCAGATAGGCACGATCTATACCCTTCACTCAATGACAGGGTTCAGTCAAACAAGCCCGAACTCATGCCCATACCTCCCAGACCAGACATGACACTCTCCCCTCCTGGCATGTGTTCTTCCTGCTGTTGAGGGACAGGCCGAGTAGGCGCAGGAGCGTACCTCGCCCCTCTAAAGTTCCTCCCAGGCTGACCCTCCACATCTTCCGCCAGTCTTTCCTGCCTCCCTTCAAACGCCCCCGCAACATCCCCCCTCGGTTCCCTCCCCGCATCCAAGTCCATCGAGAAACACATCCAGAGCGCATCGGTGACGTCGCCCAGTCCTCCCAGGCCGAACTCGCCCAGACCCCAGCAGAGCGCTCCTGCGAGAATAGCAGCCCATACGTCCTCCGCCTTCCGTTCCCGCCATTTGGCACTGCCAAGCGTGCCGCTGTCTGACGAGTCGGAGGAGTAGAAGTACGCGCTGAGAGCGGCAAGCAGCGAGGAGAACAGAACGAGGAGGTGCAGGAGCGTGCGTGTGAGGTCGTAGTTTCTGTACATCCTGCCTCGGCCACGTTCGAGCGCTCGGACAGCGCTGACGGAGGACCAGAAATTGCCCCCTGTACCGGCGGGCCCAGTCTGCCCCGTGCCGGAAGGGTTGATACCCGTCATCAACATCGCTTTCCCGTTGTACCCCTCGAGCGAGTTGAGCAAGTACACGAGGAAAGACGCGGGAGAAAGCTGCGGGGGCAGGGGGAGCCAAGGGATCAGGAGCAGCTACGGAAGGGTCAATGGATATCCAAACGGACGAACGGATCGGAACGTACTCGCTGTATGCCAAAGACGATCCAGACCAGCGTCCGGGTTAGGGAAAGAATTAGTGCGCCAAGAACAGCAGTACCGAACTGCGGCCCGGTCGCGAGCACAATCGCTTCCCGCGTGCTTTCGTGTTGATCGGGCGGCGAGCGGGGAGGACTACGATTAGAGTTAGTATGACTGTGACTGCATGTAGATAATTTACGCACGCGGCGAGATACCACCGCCCAACGACATTCCCTAGTGCAATCCTTCGCAGACTTAGCAAAGTCGCATATGCCAGCAGGGTGGTCAGGATCGGCAAAGACGCAACCCATGTTGGCAGCGATCCACCAAACACGAGCCTCACGCCCCCACCGCCGATGATACCCCCGCCGATCGCTCCACCTAGAGCGCCTACCATTATTGCTGCTAAGGCGGAGGGATGGTGCAGGAGCAGGGTGGCGGAGAGGCGAAGTAGTGCGGAGGAACGATTAATGGAGGGGAGACGTCTGGGAAGGCTTGGGAGGGCGAGAAGGAGGGGAATTAGTGGGATGGGGGAGATGATACGCAGCCTATATGCGGGTGTTAGCGTGCATCTAGCATTGACTAGTGAGTCGCAGTACGTACGCTAGGCTCTGTGACCAGAAGCTACCAGCGAAAGAGTACAAGCTGGCGAAGAGCACTAGCACAGGAAGGAGGAAGTATGTCCCATACAGGGCAGGTTTGACAGCCACGCGCAGAAGGGCGATATGTATTGGAGGAAGGAGGAGGGAGAGGAAGGTGAGCAGCGAGAGCAGGGGAAGTGTATGCGTCAGATGAGGAAGCGGAGACTGCGGGGAAGACTTGAGTATCGGCACACCGCTTCCTCGGACTCAGAACAGACTTACCGATTTGGGCGTAAGTATTAACGCATATAGCGAGAGTATCGTCGACACCACCAGCATTACTCCGAAAAGCACTGTATACCCCGCATGAGGTAGACGGAGAACATGACCCAAAGATGGTCTTATCCTTAGTTGTTCCTGAGGCAGCAAGCTCTCTAGCATACTCTCCGTCTGCCCTTGGCCTCGTCGACCATGTCGCTCCTCCTCCTCTTCTTCTTCAGATTCTTCCGACTCGTCCAGCTTGTGTGGCGTGAAAAGGTAGGAAGGCGGTACGCCATCATCCGTCTCCCCGCTATCGCCACGCAACTCCTCTGAGTCGGACGACGGTCTCGATGGTGGATGTGCGCGCCAGCCGGGAGGAGTAGGATGTGTACTCTTCCCACTTCCTGCGTTCCTTCCATGAGATGTCGACTTGTGCATGTTACGTGGCGTGGTAGGGAGAAGAGAGATACTTTCCACTGGCCCCTGAGCGACCAGATCCTCATCCTCCTCCTGAGACTCGGAAGCTTCGTGGGATGAAGAGGAGCCCTCTCCATACCCCTTAAATGGATCCACACTACCCCGTAACATGCCCATTGTCGCTCCCATACCCATTCCGTATCCGATTTGGCTCATCCCCGCTTCCCCCGGTCCTGCCGTATCTGACTCGACCGGTTTAGCGCCTCCCGCATGTTCGTCAGCCTCGTCATCATGAACAGAACTGCGATCGGAACCGGACGAGAGAGATGAACGGCGGGTATGCGTTGCGTGGGTGTAAGTACTGTAGAAGAGGGGCGAGTCTGAGGAGGTGGCGGACTGTGCTTGTGAGACCTGCGATTGTTGAGTGATGAACTTTGCCGCCAATGTACTGAATGATGATTGTTGAGGTGGCATCTCTGCCAACCCTTATTGACCTAGCCAAGTAGAAAAGAGATGATGATAGAAAGAAATAGAGATTGAGATGGGGAGTCGTGTGTTGTATACAGTGCGAGGTAGGTGAGTGGTGACTAGGGGCGTCGTACTCCCATCACTGAATGACAGGACGTACGCAATGCTCCGAAGATACCGGAACCTTTTACCGTCAGTGGCAGTGCTAGGTTTGTCTCGGCTTCTCTCCGTGTCCGTGACTCAGCTCCGGTGGTCATCATGTGGTGGTTGCCATGCAAGTGTTTGTGCACGCTCAACAAGCTTAAGTGCGGACGCTGAAGGTGCACAGCACTCTGCCAATGTAAGCTTTGGTGGAACATCTTCTAGTGATATATCCATTGTAACCTGCTTGCGCACCCCCTGGGCAATGCAATGTGGCACTTGATGCGGAAAAGCAGGACCAGAACGACCTGTCTCTTGTCATTGTCTCTCCCACTGTGCAGGATGACTCTCCCAATCCACTAGCCACCGATTGTTCCCTGCTGACAGATCTCAGTTCCAGATGGCCATTCCTCCTCTCCTTGCACAAGTGCCTCACCTCACCTGTGATGCTGTCAGTGTCATGGCATTTGGGGAGCCTTGCATGTACTGCCCTATTGTTCAGATACTTGACTTTGTGGATTTGCCTGATGACCAAGGCAATACAAGGAACCTGCCAGTGTTCATGTAAGTTACTCCCCCCTTGTGCAATGGCAGGCTTGATGACATGTGCAGGATTGTTATTAGTGATGGACATCAGTGGATCATGGTGCTGCCACACATGACCATGCATGATGCTGTCATGAACCAGATGCTGCAGACGAAAGCAGTAATCAACATTCAACAGTATGCTGTTGCAGTGTCTCCTTTCCAACATCAAACATAAGCTAATCATTTCCCTGTGCAGGGCACTGCTGAGAAGTTACAGGCTTGTACAGATTGACAAATGGAAACTAGTCGGTTACACACATCAAATAGGTATGCCAGCCAAGTTGCTTCTCAACCTGGAGCTGCCACTTGGTGAAGGGAGTGTGCTCAGTACAGGCCACATGGCACATGCCTTTCCAGAGTAGGTTGTGGCTGGACCAGCATGCCCTGTGCAGGGACAGTCTGTTCCATTAATGTGGAGATGCATAAAGGCTTTCCCCAATATGCCAAACTCTCAAGATCTGTTGGAAGAGTACCTGCATCCTCACCTAGAACTTCCCCCCCTAACACAAGGTCAACTATCACCAGACACTGGCTCACTCTTGTAGCACAAGTCCATCTGCAGGTGGTTCTGTGAGTACATTTGCTGAAGAAAGGACAGTGAGCTTACCCTGCACAGGTCCTCCATGTATGCACAAGTGTACGAGGTGAATGCAGCACACAGGGTGATGATTCAGAGGCAGGAACACACACTGAAGATGATGATCATTCATGATCACACAGTTCATCTTTCTGTTCATACCATTGTTTGACATTACTCATGTTGCTCAGGGCAAAATCGAAATAGCAGGATTTGACAGACATGTGGGATTCTTCGATGGTGTACTGACTTCCCAAGTATATCAAATCAACAATGCTCAGGCAGAGGTGAATGATGAGCAAACATGGAGAGTACCTCATCCATACCATTTGCTCGTCAACAGTGACACACATATCATGCATGTGGAAGACAACCACCCCTATCTGGCTGTTTACTTTCCTTTCACCAAATTGTCCTCCATTATTTGTTACAAGAACAACAAAACCATTGGTGCATATGTTTCCCATGTGCAAGGGTATGGATCTAAGTGCTTCGTAGACATGGTAGCCATTGTGGCCCAGTTGGGTCATAAGATCTTGAGCAGTGTGCTCAAGGGAGCCAAGGGGACAAAGGTCAGTTACACTCCAAGCTTACTCACCCTTGCGCAGGGACACACCAAGGCACCCAGCAGCAATCATGTCAAACTATGGCTGGTGGATGACTCCAAGGTTACCATGCACCTCTGTGTGTTCAATGAGTTCATCAGACAAATGGACAACTCTTTGGTGGGGAAAGCAGTTACATTCAAGACTCTCCTCACCAATGAGATGGATGGACCATGCCTAAAGACTCAGTCTCGAAAGACACATTTTTTGTCAGCCAGAACAATTACATGCACCAATGACTGGAAGCATGGTTTGTTTTTTTATACTGCCCTGTTCCTTGTGCAGGGAGCTTATGCACATTTAGGTGGGCTACATCAGGCAGCCTTGCACATGGGAATCAGTGGAGGTCCATGACAGGCAGCTTCTCGGCTGCTGGTGCACTGGACAAAGATGGGCAGGCAGTACTGAGCCTTCAAGTAAGTATTGCAGAGGCAAAGCATCAAAAACTGGGCTTTAACCAGCCCATTACCTTCATGATCATGGGAAGGCTTCATCCCCAGCACAATGTGCAGTTCACCTACCAAGGCTGTCCCTACAAGACGTGCCATAAGAAATGGAGTGCATGATTTTGGGACAAAGATGAGGAAATGTATATTTGTCCTGCTTGTCGCAGGACATACATTTCCCCTGGAGCAAAGTAACATCTTATTTTGCCACAACCCTGTGCAGGGCTGAGGTGGAAACTAGATATCAATATCATGTTGAGGTTGTCAACAGTGGAAGCCAGCATTGGATCATGTCATTTGACACAGTGACCAATAAGCTTCTGGGCAAGATGGCCAGTGACATGGACCACTGGTTGGACTTGTTGCAGGGCAGCGACGTGAGTGCATATGCCATGTGCAGGGCTGAACTCATTGTTATTAAGTGGCAAGTGATGCAGTGGTATTACACCACTGTTGATTCCGTCTTGGGAAATATGTATGAAATTACGATCAAGGCCAACACCAATTTCATGGACAGGCAGAAAGGAGAAGTGACTTGGGTGGCAACCCATTACATTTGTGTGTAGTGCATTAAGCATAAGAGTGTTTAGTTGTGCATGCCCCTGCGCAGGGGCCGAAGAACATTTACAATTACCATGAATCACATTTCATTGCAGTTTGCATATGTACATACTACACTTATTCCAGGGGGGAAGAAGAATGTGAGCTCCCAGCATTTGACGATGCACACACATTCTCTTGAGATGGGTGATGAGTCTCAAATTGGTAGTCATACACAGAGGGACATGCACCAGAAGGAAGTGGTTGCCAGCCAAGGTGGTTGCCCTGTGCAGGGTTATATGATTGCGCAGGTTCATGGCTCCGGGAAGGACCAGGTATAGAGTCCCCTTGCACATGGGATGGGAGTCTATCATTGCAAGATGGGAAGTGATGAGGCAGTTGAGGATGAACCAGCCGATCAGTCAGGTTTGCAATAGCCACTGATTGGCATGAGATAACATGTCTTGCTTCCCTAAGATCCTCTTGAAGAGCATCTGTGCACAGGAGAGAGGTGTGGAGGCAGCAGTCCAGGTTCCGAGCATTGCAAATCTCCTTGTCCCTCACCTTGCGAGCTGATTTGAGGCCCAAGACAACATCTGTATAGTGGTGGGAGCAAGCTCTTGTAGTTGCTTCTGTGTCTTCCAATAAGACAGCCTGTCCAGCAACCATCTCCCAGAGACTGAGCTCCTCCTGTGCATGGCAAGGAGGGGGAGGTCGACAAGGGGGAGGGCCATCTTGTTCAGGGGAATCGGTATTGTCATCACTCGATGAGGTGTAAGAACAAAAGCCCACCCCAAAATCTTGTGCAAAGGAGGGCTGGCGTCCCTGCACAGGGCGAAAGTTCCACTGAAGGGGGGGTTCAGGTGAGACATTGCTTGGGCCATGACTATGCTGGTAAAGGTCAGTGCACAATGACGGTGGGCCATGTGCATTCTCACTGGGTCCTCATTGATCCACCACCCATATCCAGCCGAACCCCAGTATGCAGTGTTTTGTCCACAAAGAGGTCCATTGCCAGGACCAGGCATGCTTATACCAAGTTGGTGAGACAAGCAATACTCAGAGCAGAGCAAACAAGCCCTGCACAGGGGACATCAATCATGTGACTCAAACGAAGCACAGCTGCACATGGCTTGGTACACATGTAAAGGAAGTGGACTATCTATTGAGTGGTTGCCAAAAAAGAAAAAATAGGCCGGAGTAGAAGGCACTCTTCTCCCAGAACAACACATGGATGAGACAAATTCATAAAGTCTCCTCTTCTTCAGTCAAGCAAAGGCTGTCAATGGAAAATTTCAATATCAACAATTGGTGAGAGACTTGTTGAGTGTGTGAGAGCTCAGTCAACACTGCTGAGGCCATCAAATCCAAAGCAAAGCCCATGTGCAGGGCACTATCCAAGTGGCTGATATTGTCCATCAGTTGCTGTAGCTGTTCCTGCAAGGTGGCAGATATGGCACACCCTTGTGTGAGAGTGGCAGACACTACGTGATGTTCAGCAACATCATGTGAGTGGCAGACCTTACCTGCAGGTGGCATCAGAAAGGAAACTTCTATTTGAACAACCCTGTGCAGGGTGGTTCATATATGCTCAGGGGGGCTTGTTCATGCATGGTTGTGGCTGGCTACCCAGCCATGTGCAGAAACAATATATCATTCAGAAGTCATATGACATGCCCTCATCCTCATCCACCACTTCCACAGCTTCATGTATGAAGAAAATGGTGTGCAGTGTGAATGCAATCATGTGAGGGCACTTATCCTTTGGCAGCTTGGAGTATTTATTGTCAAAACATTTTTTGATCTGCATTTCACAGAGGATGACATCACCCTTGTGCAGGAGAGAAGCGGAGTATTGCTTCAAATCTTTTCTAGCCTTCATGCCATCGCGGGCATAGTAGATGGAAGTGAACTTGCATGCCTATAACTGTCATGAGCAGCATACAAAGCAAAGTAAGGGATGCACAGGTTTGTCTGAATTGTATTGCTTCTGGAACCTGTTCGTGATGATGCTACTAAATGGATTCAATTCTGCCCCTGTGCAAGGTGAAGTGAGGACAGCAGACTTTCATTTGGAAGACCACTGACATTGCCTTGGTCTGGAGGTACAGTTCATGATCTTTGTTGCCACTCTAGTGTCCTCCAGAACAAGTGGCTTAACACATACATATATGGAATCTGACCAAGAACTGTCCTCATTGACAAACTTCTGCACAGCAATGCAACAAGTACCCAGACAGAAATGGGTATGTTGTCTGTGTGCATGAGGAAATTGCTGTAATCAATTGATTGATCATACCCAAAACTGAGTGTCTGGGGCCATTTGGTGATGTAATAAATGCCATGGGTGGGGTCTGTGTATGCTCAGATACTTGTCAACTGAGATTGCAGGGTAGCATTAAACCCAGCCTTGCACAGGGTCTCTTCACAGCTTTCCTTTGTGTTGGATAGGGTGTTGATATCTTTCGTGTTGATGTCCTCAGTAAATTTGGGCTGGTCAGGCAGCACTTCATCAGCAACATCTAAACAAGCCCTGCACAGGGTGAGAATGGAGGAGCAAACTGTATCCATACAAACCTCTTGTGCCACAGTGCTGTTTCGACACCAGCATTCAAAGGATTTGGGCATTTTTTTTGTAGCCATGGTGCTTTACCATTCATAAGGACCTGCGGATGTGCAATTTATTCCTCTGAAGCAGCTTGCAAGGCGGGTCAAGAAGGCTTGCATATGTGTCTGTCATGCACAGGGAGCCACAGGGCCAGTGGGCATGGCTGAAATGAACAAGACATGGGGATCAACACAGATGAACGTTAATGACTGGTAGTGGTTTTCCCCTATACATTCCCATGCCAATCTTCAACAGAGCATTGCAGTGTGGATTCAGCAGGGAAACCTCTTAGCTGTCTCAGCAGCCAACTTGTCCAACCATTCAAATTCCTTGTGCAGGTCTGAGGGTGGGCCTTGAAAGATTGACCTCAAAGTAAAAGGGCGAAGGATGGCTATGCCTTCCAAAGTCCAGACGTGGGACAGCATGACATATGCACTTTGTGTGGAAGTGCACCCACACAGATCCATGACAGCAGTGTGGAGGGATCAACCCTGACTCTTGTAATCTGTGTAGGCATATGCAGGAAGTAAAGGCTGGAACTTTCTGGAGATTGAGTGCGACACATTTTTTCCCCCATCTGAGCATTTGGATTCAAATGAGTATGCCCTTGCACATGGCTGAACACAAATAGTATTGGGAGGTAGGTGTGCCTGCGCATGGTCACAACCAGGCATATTGACCATGACTGCTGTGGGATAATGACAGCCATTGCAATCAAATTTGTACTGAATGCCAGTCACCATTCCAATAGCCCCATTGACGAGTGATTTAGAAATGGCCAAATTCTCTGTCAGCATGACCCACATGCCTTCAAACATGGGCAAAAAACCCAGCGCATCATTTGTGCGATTGATTGGCAGGCTCCATAGTGCATCTTGGACTGCTGGTCAAATGCAAACTTTATTGATGAAATTGGGGAAAAAGTACAAATGGCAGGCCTTGCACAGGGACTGAGCATAACAGTGAGCGAGGAACAGGTTCAGGCAGTTGTGGACATCTTTGGTCACTACAATGAATGGTGAATTTAGAACATGTATCCTATGTGCAGGGGAGGATGCAAAAATGGAAGAGATTAGGCAGGTTCAGAGCACATCTTCATCAGGTATTCTGTAGTGCACAACATGGGGCTTCTTGTGCTGATCTTCTATGGTATTTTGCCATGGGGTTCCATTGCACAGATGCAAAAGCAGTTCAGCCCATTGGCAATCATTCTCTTGATGAACTTTTTTTGCTAAGAGAACTGCTTCATTCACCTGTCTCCAAACGACAACACCAGTCATTTCTTCCTGGCCCTGTGCATGGCTTATCCATGCACCATTGATGTTTTGGATGAGCTTGTGACTGTACAAAGATTGCCAACCCAGTGGCTTAAATTGAGGCAAATCTCCAGTGAAGACAACATTCATGCCACCAAATGGGAAGCCAACGTCCACTTCTCGGCCTTGTGCAATGCAAATGGATATATCATACAACAATTTGCTTGACACCATTGACATCTCATTGATGACCAGCCATTGTGCATGTCACCATACTTGCTCCAGACCATCTTGGTTGACCTTCAAACCATGCATAGCCAGTAATTGTGTTAGGGAATGTATGGTGTAGCCACCAATCACAACTGCTGCTGCCCCTGTAGAAGTGCTGATATGCAGTTTATCCCGAATCAACAATTTGTCAAACAGAGATTCCATGCTGCATATAATGTGGCTTTTTCTGGTACCAGCGCTGCCACCAATGTAAAGGAGCAGTTGCTCATGAGGCCCTGCACATAGATAGTGTGCTATAATCCTCATTGCTCTCATTTGCTCAAGATTGGCTCCAAAATTTTGTTCCTGAACAACCTGTGCAAGGGCATGGTGAACAGAATGCTCCGGAATTGCATGCTGGACCTCTGAACAATTGTCTGAAAAGCCTTGCGCAGTATGGAGTGAATCAATTGTGAGAGCAGGTCCAGAATTGGAGTTGAAGTGTGTTGGATGCTGTCTGCCTCAGATCTTTCCTTCTGCCCTCCATTTAGCCATTTCTGCAGCCCATTCTGATAAAAGGTTCTCTTCTTCCACAGTTAACAAACTGATGTTGCCACCATCTGACAAGAAGTCTGGCTCAGCAACAGGAACTGCATGTGCAGGAAGAGCAGACAAAAAGGCTGTCATTGCAGGACCTGCTTTGCCAGTGCACAGGGCATCTTCTGCACTGCACAGGGACAGGAACAAGGGATCATCTTCTGGCAAAGAACCACTTTTGTCTGCATTCAGATCAGTGTCATCCACATCCAAATCCATCACAAGGTCCTCCATGTGTTTGTCAACCAAAGAGTCAGCGATAAGGTTGGCATACTGGCTTTTGCTATGCTTGCTGTGCAGGTCATTAGCTCTGGCCTCCTTTGATTGTCTGAGCACTGCCATATTGGATATAATAAATCAATGGATTTCTGTGAAAGGAGTTTGTGAAAACATTGTGCATCAAGTGATGGTGCATGGCTTGCGATCCTGCACACAGCACCACAGTTGAAACAGCAGTAGCATGGCCCTGCAATACTCATCACTATGTTGCCCAGTAGAATCTTCTTTAGGCAAGGCCAGTCTGATGATGTCTGGGGCAACAGGCACTGTGTGCAGGGATACCCTGTGAGTGGCATGCTGTGGGTGGCTTTCTTGAAACATGGCCTGTTGCTGTCGTTTTCTACTGGGCAAACAACCTGACATGCACAAAGCCTGGGAAGAAGAGGGATCCAGCTCCATGTTGTTCAAACTTGGCCCTGTGCAGGTGTAATGGACAAATGGCTCCTTCTGGCAGAAGGAGACATAGTCATACAGACAGTAGCTGTTAAATGGCTCTTCTACAGGCCTCTTTGCATAATCTTCAAAAGCTGTGGCAGAGGTGACACAACCATGTTGAATCTCTAACTTCGCTGCTGCATAGGAGGAATATCTGCCATGTGCAAGGTCTTCATCATTGTCATCATCAGATTCCAGAGATACATCAGATCCATGGTCGTTTGCCATTTCAATGTCCTGTGCAGGGGACTCCTCTTCATCCAGTCAACAAGAAATGTACCCCCAGTGAAGCAATGAAAAATCATGTAATCTGTAGCAATCCCCTCCTCCAACATAGAAGCTCATGAGCTGCTGATGTGATGTCTCTTGAGAGGCACCAATCTGGTTCACAAGTTTGACAACCAAACTCTTTGATTGCACTGTGCAGGGCGCTCCTTCTTCCTCACAAAACTTGTCACAATTCTTCTGAATTGCACAGAGCATTGCAGTCACCCCTGCATGTGCCTTGAGAGAAGCCTTCATCATGTAGTCTGTAATGTAGTACAATGTGGCCATAGATGCTTCTCCTGATGCAAGGTACTGTATGTCCATGTTATATTGAAGGAGATACATCATCACATCATTGTACTCATTGATCCTCAGGTGTAAGCAGTGTAATAATATGGAGCCCATTTCTTCATCCACCATTGACGTTGCTTGGGTCAAGCGATCCATTTGCATGCAACAATTTGCATTGATCTTATCTTCACCCTTGCGCAGGTGTATTCAACAGCTAGCTCAATGCTCATGCCAATTGTTTCATTCCACAAGATCTTTGACCTGATGCATAAAGATAGAATCTGTGTGTGGATCCCCACTGCAGAAGGGAAGAGACGGAATAGAGCAAGGATCAATGTTGTCTTTCCCCATCTTTGGTGTGGGGAGTGCCCCGTTTGGTTCTGTGACCACCTCATCCTGCCCTGGAAGCTCCATCTTGATCAGATGCTCCAACCACAAGATCATGTCCACCCAAAATCCTGGATTGTTCTCCATCCCCTTGCACAAGGCATCAGGGGAAGGGTTTCCTTTCAACCACATGAGGATATGGCAGTGGAGGGTACCTCTCCCCTGTGCTTCCGCCATGCCATACCACCCTGTGCAGGTACTGAACAAACCAGGCCCTTTCCCAACATGTAAAATTATATTGCAAAATCTTTCCATACACCAATGGAATTCAGATGCAGCTATACCAGGATGCGTGGCCACTGACATTGCCCATTTAAACCAAGTCACTTTTGTCATGCCCTCCGCAAGGCCGTTTGCCCTGGCAATATTCAGGTGACATATATATCCATCCACATTGCAGGGGGTAAAAGTGATGAAAAATGCTGGATGGCTGAGTCAATACACAAGGGATCTGATCTCATTCCTGTGGCACCACTTGTATGCATCACTGCCAGGCACATTGGGCCTGAGCATGTGCACCTTGCGCAGGACTCTCAAGGCCATTTCCTCTTTGACCAATGTTGCTTTTGCCCACTGTGATTTTCAGAGTTCGTCAGCCAATTTGCTAAATACCTGCGCAGAAATTTGCTGAATATCCTCCACAATGCAAGTGTGCTTGCCATCCGGGATACAAAACCTAACAAGACATGCTGCCTTGCGCTTCTGCAAGATGTTATGGAAGACAAATGCAAATGTGGGTGGTTCTTCAAAGTGGCTGTTCACCATGTGCAGGAGGTGTGCAAGCTGGTTGGCCATGGACACAGGCTTATGTCGATGAGGATCATCAAACCTGCCTAGTGCAAAGGGATCCAAATGGGGGAACATCCACGTAAGGGTGTATTCATTGTAAAAATCATGAATAGCCCTATTTCATTTCTGGGACATGACAAAGCGGCCACCATTGGATAGGCAATGTGCGAGTGCATCAGCCTTCATCGCAATGTATGAAGAAGTGTTGGAAGATGAGGTGGAATAACTGGAAGCCTCCATGAAGAAGTCACCACATTGAACATCACAAGGCTTGAAAATGTTCCACAATGTTATATCAGACTCTGCAGACAATTGCACATCTTTGTATGAAACATGCTCAACTTCAATGCAAGGAAAGACAGTGCCAACATACCTCACAAGACTGGATGATCATGTTGTGCATATTCCGCCTCTGTGTCCTAAGTCAGTATTCTCCTCATTCACCCCATGTCACTGAGCTCACACTTTCTAGTTCTTGTCCTATGCATGAGCATCCCCATTCTTGCACTCTCAGTATTACTCATAGATGCACAGTTCCTCCTGTTCAGCGCTAGTATTGCTGCAAGCACAGTGACACTCTTCTGTGTTTTGCTTGTCCTCCCCCTCAAACTAGAATGTTTTCACAAGCTCCCATGGCTGGCCTGGCTTGGATGGATGCATGTTGAACTCTTGTGGACAGGCATCCTTGTGATATTCTGGCTAGGTGCACCTGATTCTCCCTCAAATACTGTGTAACCAGTTCAGACTTGGTTAATTGTCAACACAACAACCAGAATTCATAGCACATCATATGCTTCTACTGGGTGTACCAATATCTGCAGGGAGATTACTTTCACACTGGAAGGCTGGCCAGAAGACATTCCCTTTTGTCATGCATCCTTCATACTCCCTCTTTACACCTACTTTCACACTGACTGCTTTCACAGAAGGGAACACCTTTGGGACATGCCATTTTGCGACAGCAATTGCTGCGCTCAATCTTTCCTGTTGCATCCTCCTCCTGGCCCTCTGGCTCTACATGCTTATTGTAGTACTCTGAGGACACAGGTTGGGCAACACCTTCATCTGGAGCTACATTCCCTGGAGATATGAATGGACGCACATGGCTGAGGAGCAAGATCTCAAGAAAAAGTCTCTGGAATGGAAATATGCAGTGGAGAGGGTGTAGATTGGCTGGATTGAAACACCTTAGGGTTGATAAGCTGATGACAAGGAGCTTGAACTTGCAATGTACTCTACAATCAATATGGTGTATAATACAATTTGGTAAGAACACTGATAATGTTCATGTAGGGATAAGTTAATAGACCTTTTAGATAATACTATTGCAATGTAGCTGATTGCTTGAAGCTGTTGCTAGCCATGATCACCCGGTG